CCTCCCGAGTCGTCGCCTCCTGGTGCTCCTCCCGCGTCGTCGCCTCCTCCCGCGTCGTCGCCTCCTAGTCGTCCCAGTGTTCCCTCGTCGCCTCCTGGTGCTCCTCCCGAGTCGTCGCCTCCTGGTGCTCCTCCCGCGTCGTCGCCTCCTGTTGCTCTTCCCGAGTCGTCGCCTCTTGTTGCTCCTCCCACGTCGTCGCCTCCTGGTGTTCCTCCCGCGTCGTCGCCTCCTGGTGCTCCTCCCGAGTCGTCGCCTCCTGGTGCTCCTCCCGCGTCGTCGCCTCCTGTTGCTCCTCCCGAGTCGTCGCCTCCTGGTGCTCCTCCCAAGTAGCTGCAGCACTAGAGTGCAAGTCACTCTATATTTGCACACTGCAGAGCTGCCTGTTCAAACACCTTTCTCATCTGGGAGGAGATGGCTTGATACGCCCGTTTGCTGTGTATCATTGCAGTAAACAAGAGTGGCTTTTTGGTGGTTGCCGTTGCAATTGACATCCCCCTACCTGAGCCGGGCAGTCCTGTTATAAGTTTATACCTCTTGAAGTCTGTGATGATTCCTGTTTAAACAGCTGTTCTATGGAGTTCTTAAAACACAAATAATTCTCTGTGACATAGAGAACTCCATAACCGCCGAATTCTTTTTGATGTTATATTCCTGTCTCTATTCACCATATAGCAATGCCAGCCGGTCTTAAACTCAGGCAGAGGTTGCTCTGTCTCTGGGATGTTAAACATTTCATGAAATGGTTTTTTCTTTTTTCAGGAAATGGAACGGGCTGCCAACGTTTCTGAAATGAGCAGCGGTGAAGCTGCTCAGTCGAGCCCTTGTTACAGCAAACAGGCTGTGGCGCTTGTCGTCTTTGTGATCTTGCAGCTGTGAGTCGACGGGTAACCTTTCCCAGAAAACTGCGAAGGTGTCGTAGCGCTTCCTTAGGTTGGGGTAAGTGTTAAAGATGGAGTCAACGATGAAGAACTTTAGGCCGGCAGAAAAAACTAAGATTGATCCCATCATCTGATATGGTAAAAAGCACGAGAAGAACACCCACAGTAAAATGTAGAACTTCATGGTCGTGTCTGGCTTGACCCACATCAACAGATTTTTTCCCTTCTCGAGGGAGTCGGCTATCAGTCCAAACAGGTTCTGGGTTTGATGAAGAACATCGTGAACCTGATGGAGCTTCTCTCTCCATGACGGGTGTGCCTTTGGTAGTCCCAGCGGCTCAGTCAGCTCCGGGACGATGCTCCAGTTAATATTCCAGCCTTTTGTAATTAAATAATTCAAAGAAAGGCGGAGAATTAATAGCAGCAGCAACATGGGGATGGTCCAGCCATGCCACGCTGTGTAGAGGTATGTGACAAACCAAAATAGAGACAGGTGTCGAGAGTTCCAGTTGGACAGGGCATCCAGGTTATTGCAAAGATTTTGGAGAGGAATGGCATCTCGTTCCGCCCGTTTCATGTTCTCTTCTAACTTCTTAGGTCTCAGTTTGTCCTCTTTCTTTGCAATTGGGTCCTCTGGCTGGACGAGTAGATCTCCAAAGTAATCTTCAAATTGATGGGACAACTTTTTCCAATAAGTGTTCCACACAGTGTCATTGTCCTTCGGAGGTGGTGGAATGTGAGATGACTCAGGTGACATATCTTCAATCTTTCTTTGATCTCTGTGGTGTTCCTTCCTCAGTTCCCGTTGAAGTAATTTAATATAATTCTCATTTTTTTCAACCTTCTTCCTTAGCAGCTCTTGTTCTTCGAAGGAATCTTGCAGCCGTCTCTGCATCTCTTTGATTTCCCCCGCTGTCACAGGAATTATCTGGGCTTCCTGCTCCAGTTCTGAGTCAGATTCACTCAGGTCATCCTCGCGTACTTTAGTCAAGTCTTCATCACTGGAGTCAAGTGAGATTTGTGCTCAAGGCACGGAAAATGGATTTTTTGGAGCACTTCGACATTTTTGTTGCTGCTGATTCGACTGTCTGACAGAACTTTATGGGCTCAATTTTGGCGTGCAAGACATGCAAGCTTTAGAACTTTGATGTTGTGATGTACATGATGTCTTTTATGACCTCATCAGTGAGGTCACTGGAGGTCTGAGGCAAGGTCTCGCTTCTGATCGTTGTTATGGAAACGATCAGATCAGTTCTGCATGAGTCAAGCTGAAAATAACGACTAAATACTTAATAATAAGTCATACTTTTTATTTATTTAACATGAAGAGATTAACAGTAGATTTCTATGAGATTTGAACTTTTGCGTTTGTGGTTTTCCGCTCCAGCGCCATTAAAACTGTATCTCAGCAACCCTGAATAGGATCGCCGCCCGTGAAATAGGGAGTCGTCCCATATTTGGCCCGTTAAATGCGTCCTGTGTTGAACCGATACATACTGTTAGACACACCTGTAATAAACACATCATAATATTAAGTTTAACAATAATGGCCAAATATATTATATATATATATATATATATAATATATATATATATATTATATATAATATATATATATATATATATATATATATATATATATATATGGGAGTCTCACTCCCACAAGGAATTACAATAGCAAGACATAGAGGACAGTTACAAGTACCTAGGTATACCACAAGCAAATGGCAACCTTGTGAGGCCACAAGGAAAGGAACCATACCTCCAACCTCCAACGATAAGGCAAGTCCTGAGAAGCCAGCTCAAGGCAAGACAAAATCCGTGCGATAAACACTATGCCCTGCCAGTAATCAGATACCTTGCTGGAATAATTAGCTGGCCAAAGGAGGAGATAAAAGCCACAGATATTAAGACTAGAAAGCTACTAACCATGCATGGAGGGTTCCATCCCAAATCCAGCACCCTGAGACTGTACACGAGCCGCAAGGAAGGAGGCAGAGGACTAGTGAGTGTGAGAACCACTGTCCAGGACGAAACAATAAGATCCATAAATACATCAGGACAAAGCCTCAACAGACAATGTGCTCAGTGAATGTCTCAGACAACAGGGAACGGAGGTTGAGGTGCCAGAGATACCATCATGGAGGACAAGCCCCTACATGGGATGTACCACCAGCAAATAACCCAAGTGGCTGATATCAGTAAATCCTACCATGGCTGGAAAAAGCTGGACTCAAGGACAGCACAGAGGCCCTCATCCTGGCCGCCCAGGAACAGGCCCTAAACACCAGAGCAATAGAGGCCCAGATCTACCACACCAGACAAGACCCAAG